ATAATGTATATAATCAATTCCCTCGTGCAATTATGAGTAAATTCGTTGACGGTTTATTGTGACATGAGGAGTATTTAATTATATTAGTTACTCCTCATGTCACAATAAACCGTCAACAAATTTACTCATAATTCCACGAGGGAATTGATTGTGTAGATGCTCTAAACCAATCAAAAAAAAAAAAATCACTCTCCCAATGTCATGTGATTTCACGAGATTTCAGCGTGATGTGAAACGTTAACGTTGCCGAACAGATGAATGAACAGATACGAACAATCGATCAATAGATCCTGCAGAGAATAAAAGCATTTTTGATCGACGTGTCGTTACTCGGTCGAAATTGTCGCAGCTCGCGCGTTCGATGTCAATCCATTAATATTGAAATCAGTATGGCGGACGCGTATCAGCAGGTAATCTATAACGGCAGGATACGCGCAGCAGCGTTCATTTACATGCTCATTATACACGGCAGCAATTACATCGCACGCGCTCGTTAATGCGTGTCGCCGTTTCAATCTAATGAAATCCATATTCTCGTTCTATACGATTTCGCGTCGCTCGTTCTCTCGAGTCAACGTTGCCGGGGCGTCGATTGTCGAGAGAGGACTTCTTCGTTCAGTTTACGGTAGAATTAACGGCTTTTCAGTGTACCTATTGTTTTTACGCCGGCTTTGACGGTCACGTTTAATACCACGACGCGAACTGCTTTAATTGAACATCCGGTTTAATTAGAGAAGTGGAAACAAGGATCGCTCAGTTTGCGAATTAGCGGCTGACGTGCTCCATGGAATGCGCAATGATCACCGGAATGCAGTCCGTTCTACGAGCTAGTGATCCAAAAGTTTCGAGGCCCGTCTCGAGACTGATTTTCTTCGTACTTGTTTCGTCGAGATGTAAACATTCTCATCGTGTTCGACAGATATGTTGTCCGTGCATTTTTGCATGCGTTTTTCCTGAGTACACAATAAGTGCATTCATTTATTTACTCCATTCTCATTTAAATAGTTCCTAACGCACTGTTCCTGCGTTTTATGCATTCAGTACAGCATGCAATTATTGTTGTTTTATCAGCATGCAGTCTTAAAAACAAACAAACAAAGAAGTATCATAAATAAGCAAATTTTTCTATTTATTAATAATCCTTGAGAGATAAAATCTGATCGAGAAATGTTTCATGCAAAAGTTTATCCTTGTTTCGTGCAGAATAAAATTATAGGTTTACATTTAAAGAAACAAAGTCGCTTTTCAAATAATCTTCAAAGTGGTCGAGAAGAAAAAATAAATAAAGTAGCCGTACGCATTAAGTGCGTTGAAATCGATTGACTTTCTTATTTCACATTTTTCCTAAAAATCTGTTTTCTAGACGCTTGGATTTAATGTTTTGAAACGGACACCCTGTATACTAAGAGAGAAACTTCGTAGCAAATTAAAGCGTGAAAAAAAGTCTCTGACAGCGAAAAAAACGTAGCAAAACCGTGTCCCAGGGCGAAAAGCTGGCGGAATGAGTCGCGGTCGTAATCGCAGTTGCAGCGTCACCTTACATTTCGTTCTTATCAATCATGCAAGCCTTTCTTGTATTTATTTCACGGCACTTTCGGCGCCGTTATTTTTTCTCCCGTGAGCGTCGAAAACAATCGGCGCCGATATTTCAGCAACAGTTATAGTTGTTACAGGCTTCCGGTCGTTCGACGGGAACGACCTCTCGACCCTGTCCCGTTTTTCAACCAGGCGATCCTCGCCCGGCGAACTATGCGCGCTAGATTCTCTATGATACAAGGGTATCCCCTAATAGTACTAGAAGTCCCAGGGTGGTCTTTGATTCCGGCATTCTATGGCCTTTCCATCAGGTCCAAGTGCACGCACTCGGCATTGATTTCAATCCTCTTTGAGCCAACTGCCTTCTATAGGAATCAGCGGCCCCATTCATGCCACAGCCGGATCTTGTTCAAACACTGTTATGATCACATTTTTCGGACTTCAGACGAGTTTGTTATCGGACCAAAATTCTCGAGATATCGACTCGACTTGAACAGTTTTGTTCGGTTCGGTCGGTTTGAGTCCAATTACGGCATCGATGTTGGAACGATCCTGAAACTTTTTCAACTAGTTTCTCTATGGATTTGTAAAACATCTCTGTCTATATATTGATTTTTCAAAGCTGGGTTTTCTACAGATTTATTGAACTATCTCGGTCTGTGTCGATTTTTTTACTTCGTCTCAAGCTCCAATTCTACAAATTTGGTTTTACTCATACTTTTGCAAGAGTTCGAAGCGAAATTAATTAATTAATTAATTAATTATTATTCTCGAAAATGTGATTCTGGTCTACTAAATTTTTCAGAGGACTTAAATATTTATGTATTTTATTTTTCAATGGGCTCGATAAGATAAGACTAGTGTCAAGATTATTTGAAATCCTTCTGATATCATCACACTTCGCTATTTCATCCATTTTTGGCATAAGCGCGTAAACCGTATGTTTTGGAGAAATGCGTCAGAAGTTTATATGGAGTATGTCAGTAAAAATTTCCACTAGAACGTGTGCGAATTTTCACCAGAAGACTGTGTACAAATTTCCACTAGAACGTGTGCGAAATTGTCACCAGAAGTCTGTGCGCAAATTTCCACTAGTACTTTGCAAATTTCCACCAGACATGCGAAGCAAAAAATTCTGCGATTTTTCCGTGTGTGAAGTGTGCGAACTTTTACTAGAAATGTGCATTCAGAAATTCTGTTTATTTTCACTAAAAATGTGTACGAAGCAGATGCGCGAATATTTAGTAGAGGCGCGCGAATGTTCACTAGAAGTGCGTATGAAATAAATGTGCGAATATCAGCTGGAAATAAGTACAAAGCAAATTTCCGCGGGGGGGAATGTGTACAGACGAGTTTCACGAGCATCGCGAGCACTGCTAACAAAGAAAATGCGGGAATTTTCGGCGGAAACGTGGAAACGGCGCAACGCGATTTTTCACTGTCTCGACGATCATTTTTAATGGGAAATATTGGTATCGAAATGCCCGTCGGTTGCAGAGAGTAGACCGCGCGGCGGCTTTCAAATAAAAGTTCCGAAGCGCGGTATGTCTATTTATTTAAAAGCGAATTAGTGTCACGAGGCCCCGATAAAATCTGTCGGTGGCCGGCGGATTTTCCGGGAGTCGGCGGGCTTGCGCTGTCCATCGCATTGTGCGGTGAAATGCATTGTTTGAGGGTTCCTCTGCGGCGGGATCGATCGTCCGTTTCGAAATTCACGCGAGCCAGACCGCGTTTTTACACGTATCGACCTATTAACGCGCGCCGGTAATTCGCCACCCATTTCTGCCGATAATTACGAGTATATACCGAATAATCATTGTGCGATCGCTTATCGGTCGATCAACAATTTGCATTAAAATAGCGGATACACGCTGCCGAAATTCGCAGTGGCGTTGGAATACGCCGAAATCGTAGGGGAAAAATCGAATACATTAGGATATCTCGAGTTCTATTAGTTATTGCTAATGATAAATTAAACGGTGAAACAGCTGATCGTTAAAAAATTCGTGCCATGAATTAATTCATCGAGATATTCATGTTTTATAAGTTACTCGGTGCCTACCATTAGCTAGTAAATATAAAATTTTACATTTTACCTTATTATATAAAATTTTACATTTTCCCTTATTATATAAAATTTTACATTTTACTTTATTATATGAAATTGTACATTTTGCTTTATCATATAAAATTATACATTTTACTTTATTATATGAAATTGCATATTTTACCTTATTACATGAAATTGTACATTTTACTTTATCACATCAAATTGTACATTTTGTCACATTTAATTAGATTTTATATAATTCTACAGGAAAGAAATCTCTTCATTGTCGGATGTTGCTCTTTTCATTGTCGAATTCTCGTCGCCATGAAAGCACACGTCGGATTCTGATCCCGATTTCAGCGTTTATTGTAATCAGCGTTTGTTACAAATATTTGGCCCATGCGGTATTTAACGAGCTGCCGAAGTTGTTACGCTGCAATGGAGTTGCACAGTCCTTTCACTTTTGAAGTGTTCATTACATTTCGTCGAAATACCACTATATACCGTGAACATGTATGCATTTCTATAAATAGATTCCGCAAAGAATTATTCCGCGTTTCCGGCGATTGTGATATTCAACAAACTGTCGAAAATTCGAATTCGTTGGATCGCATCGCTGATTATTTATCCAGTCTGTGTAGCATAATTGTTTGGGTGCCGCGCAGTATTATTTTTCCGATTAATGGACGTAGAACAGTCGTATGAATGATTGTCGACATTATCAAATTATTCGGAGTACATTCTGACGCTCCGATTAATTTCGTTGGAATTTCTGAGCATTGAAATTATTAAATTCTTTGCTTCACACTCTTGCGCGACGCGTTGCCCAGGTTTCACCTCGATAATGCTCGATAAATGAGTTAATATCTCTCGCATTATAGATATTCCTCGATGAATCTCATGCTTTCGCGAATTTCAGTTTCGCGTTCGTTTATTTCCGGCACGAGTCTGTATGCAATATTTATACACTGAGAAGAAAATATCTGCGCGCACCTTCCAAAGCAGAGCAGCTTTTCCAAACTTATTTAATTCATATCATTGTCATTATCGTTGTTTTATTACGGTCGTTCGTTATCGTTGTTATCATTATTATTACTTTTTCATTACTTTTGTATTTACTTTTTCATTTCTTTGTTCACACTTTGTTAATGCTATATATTCCATTTGAAAATGTGCACGCTGATTTTTTCTACCGAGTGTACGATTTACGGAGATTCGGTTGCAGAAGCAATATTAAATTTTCGGCAACCGCCAAAAACACGTTCGATGACCTTCGAACGACAAAAATAGCATGGCTTTCAGGCAGCAAGCCGGTTACGAGAATCCGCGGAAACGTGTCAAGTGACGTTTCGTTCTCGCGTAACGAGTGGCGTCCGCGTTCGGCCTATTTATGGAAATAACGCTAAACGCTCACCTTTATGCCGTAATTACTCTCCTCGTAGATGATTGATACGTATCTCCAGCCCATTTTCATTACGATGTCCACCATCGCTTTCACCTGATAGTGATCGCTCGGTATAGTGCGCGCGAAGTACTCGAACCGTTGCTTGTTCGACAGTTCCGGGCTCGTCGAGAAGAACGATACCTGGAATCATAGTAGACGCCCATCGTCAGCCGGAAACTGCTGAATATAGCTTTTCGTGGAACAGAATTATTTGCGAGTAAAATGAGTGTACGAATATCATATTCTGATTCATTTTATTATAAATTACATATAAATTCATTTATTATATATGTTTATTATATTATATTATATATATTATATATATGGTGAAAATTTATTCAATATCTGGTTATTATATAATAATAACATCTGACACTATATATATATTATAATATTATATTATATATATAATATAATATTATAATATTAATATACATGTAGTGTATTATATATATATATATATAATACACTACATGTATATTAATATTATAATATTAATATACATGTAGTGTATTATCTGTCTCTTATACACATCTAGATGTGTATAAGAGACAGATAATACACTACATGTATATTAATATTATAATATTAATATACATGTAGTGTATTATCTGTCTCTTATACACATCTAGATGTGTATAAGAGACAGATAATACACTACATGTATATTAATATTATAATATTAATATACATGTAGTGTATTATCTGTCTCTTATACACATCTAGATGTGTATAAGAGACAGATAATACACTACATGTATATTAATATTATAATATTAATATACATGTAGTGTATTATCTGTCTCTTATACACATCTAGATGTGTATAAGAGACAGATAATACACTACATGTATATTAATATTATAATATTAATATACATGTAGTGTATTATCTGTCTCTTATACACATCTAGATGTGTATAAGAGACAGATAATACACTACATGTATATATAATATATATAATATACTATATGTATATTATAATATATTAGGTCTATCGGAAAGTTCTGTCCGTTTGAGAAATGAAAGGAAATAATAGATCTTTCATAAATTTAGTAATATATATATATATATATATTGTACAATATAATTTCCGTCATTACTTATGACCTGTTGCCAGCGTGATGGCAATTTGTGAGCAACATTTTTCAAAAATATATGCCTCAAGTGAATATGTGCATATCTATCGAAATTTGCAATGACATTATCGGACAGAACTTTCTGGTAAACCTAATATATTGTATATACATTATATATACATATAGTATATTATATATATTATATACATATACACATGTAGTGTATTATATATATTTATTATACAAAATCGTTTTATTTTAAAATGAGTCGGTAACAATTTCCACAGCCAGGAATGAGTAATGGAAAAATTCACGTTAATCAGATATCGAATAAACTTTCACCGTGTTGCGAAGAAAATCGTGGAAAAATGATTGTCGGGGCATCGTCAAAGTTTCTTTCACGTAATTGCGACACCGACTGTACGGGAGCGATGTGACTATACCATAAATCGCGGGACTGATTAAGCAGAAAGTTTTACGCCTCGTCGAAGGCCAGCTGTTCCAATTTTCTGCACTGTAAAAGCCGGGCAAGAGTTCTACTGGGAAATTTAGGATGGTAATAAGGTTTTTTAATCAGCGGGGCAGATACAGCGTTCTCGAAGGTGTCAGTAGACTATCTTCGAGAACCTATCGTCGTAGAACATTCTAGTTAAAACTTGAACCTTATCGCGAGCTTTCAATTATCGCAGACGCTCGATAGACTGGCTCCCTCTTATCTAGTCTTATCTACCCGGCAAAATGAAAGGAAATAAGATCGAAATATCACCGCGAACCAGTTTATCGATCTACTTCGAATTGTTTCTCGTTATGGGTTCCTCCGCGAATATCCCCATGCCGACTAAAGCTTCCAATTAGCTCGCAGATATATCCGTTCCGACCCTCGCTAATTTGCATGAAATGCAAATAAGAATGGAAGGCACACTTAAATTAAGAATTATATCGGTCTAATCAAATTTATCTCTCGTTGTCTTGCGCCTTAAGCTGGCTCCTTCCGGCAGATTAAACTGCTTGAGAAGTTTTTAACGAGGGTGTGGATTTTAGTCTTATAGAAATTCAATTCGGACCCGCCTAATGAACCTTACCTCGTTCCATTGAGTTTTTATTTTTGGTAGTTTCGTTGTCTTATCGTTGGATTGAATGAAATCTACGTAGAGAAGTCTCGCTAAATTGCTATAAATTATTGTGTACTGCGTTATAATTTCAGTTGTAGAAAAGTATAATACAAATGCTTTTGCTGTATTAATTGAAGAACGGATCAATTAATTTATAATGTGTACTATGTACTATTGTATATTTTATCAGGTTAAATAGTAACAATATTTAAGAGAAAATCAAGTGTCTATTTAGAACATTCAATTAATTAATGCACAGTTTTTGTACAGCTCAGTTGTATCATTATTAATGAATTTACATGAAACCTTTATTCAAATTCTGACGTTCATTAATCATTCTCTACACATCCAAATAGGGGAACAATTTCTTACATCGTCTAGGAAGTTCCTTATGGCGTACGTAGAACAATATAAATAATTCTCATCAGTGTACACACGTTTTATCCCACTTTACAAACTATTAATCAAATACAATAAATCTAAATATTTCCTTTCAGAGAGAGAAATCATTGTATTGGGTTGGCAACTAAGTAATTGCCGATTTGTTCAATGAAATAAAAAATTTTTTTACTTGGAACGAAGTTTAATCTGTAATGTATTTTCCATTTTGTTCGATGACCTTTTGCCATCTCTCTGACAACTTGAAAATTCCACGCTCGTAGAAAGTCTGATCCTTTTCGGCCAAAAACTGAGTTAAGTGAGATTTTACAGCGTCATCATCATGAAAAGTTTTACCACGAAGGAAGTTGTCCAGGGATCGAAATAAGTGGTAATCCGATGGCGCGAGATCAGGGCTATATGGTGGGTGCAACATCAATTTCCAACCAATATCCATCAATTTTTGCCGAGTGGACAAAGACGTGTGCGGCCTAGCATTGTCCTGCTGGAAAATGACACCTTTACGATTGACCAATTCTGGTCGCTTTTTTTTTTTTTGGTTGCTAACATTCACGGATAATTAAAATAACATAATAATAATAATAATAATAATAATAATAATAATAATAATTTTATAATATAACATTTACGGATATCATAAAGATGGGAGTGAGAGACATCTATAACTAAAATCGGCAATTATTTAGTTGCCAACCCAATAGAAACGGTTCGAGTAAAATATCTAAAAAAAGGTAAATAACAGTGAAGTTCAGAGAAATATAGCCGAGGAAAATGAAGTCCAAGAAAATGAGGTCGTTCGGAATACACCGGGAGATTAAGTTCTTCGCAAAATATTGGAAAATTCGACGGTTGAAATCCAGCGATTAATAAGAGTGCGCCGGGATTGGATTTAATTAAATTTCGGGGACAGAAGTGTAAATATTTAAGAACGAAGGGGGGGACGGGGACGAACGACGAAATTTTCATAAGCGTCGCGTGTTTTTGATGAAGCGAGAGGTGTGACCGATGGCTGGGTCCAGGTCTGAGGAAGTTTGATAAACATATTCCTCGTTTCCGAGGATTTGCCAGCTGGTAAAACATCAAGCGTGATGGATAAAATTGGCGTGCAATGTCCCGTGGAGAAGCCGGGGCCTGGCTCGCACCGCGGCAGAAGATAACGCGGGCTCGTTTCTCGCTACATAAACTCATCTCCCACGGACACCGCTCGTGGACCCGCAAGAATACCACCAACGAACCAAAATCTTCCTCCCGCACAAACACGTTGCTCGCAAACTCGCCTCGCTCGAGCGCGTCTCTTCATTATTGCCGCGACAAATATCGAGAGAGCATCCGAAGTCGCTCGATCGTGGCAAGTCCTGGTTCCGTGAGAGAACGGTTCGTTTAAAACGTTCGCGAAATAACGAAACGCATCATCTATCCATCTATATATCTTTCACACTATTGTTGAAAAATATTTGAACGTTTGGTGCGCTGGTATTATAGTGAAACAAAAATGAAGAAGCGAGCTGTTGCTATTTCGTAAGAGAATGATTGATGGAAAAATGGGATGATTGGGAAATGATGTTATTTAGTTGATCCATTATGAACAACACTAATAAACAATATGACAGTTTAGGCAAAAAGGACGAATAGGCTATTGTTATTCTGTGAAGTGTGGGGACGATTCATTTAGGAAAGATTGATGAAACGAGAATGATAGAAAATGATTTTTTGTAGTTATTTTGTTACGACCAACACCAATAAAAAATATTTCGTTGGTTTCGGTATCAAAATTTAAACTAAAAAAGCAAATGAAACAACAGGCTATTGCTATTTTGTAAAATATCGTGTGGATTCATTTAAGAGTGACTGGTACAATGGGAATAATTGAAAACGGTACTTCAATAAAATGACAAATGAAACAGCAGGCTATTGTTATGTTATAAAATACTGTGGAAATTCGTTCGGAAAAATTGGGAAAAACAACAGTGACGGATCGTATCGATCTCTCTGCAAATTTCTTGATCCATCAACTCTTGTAACTAGTTCGTGATTGATGCTGGTTGACGATTAGACTGGATAAGATAGAATAAAATTCACTTTTCATTAAAATAGAACGTTCGTCCCTTCTCGATTACAATCTTAAAACTCGGATGAAATGATGAACCAGAGAATCCGACTGTTCTTTACAGATTCTTAATTTCAGACAGATCCTTAATTATTTAATTCCTTAATTATTTCATTTTGATAAAATATGCGGTTGCATTTCATGTAATTCGAGCTTAAGTTTATTGTCATTCGATAATTGGTCAACAATATTTTCAGCCGGTGGTAACCACGTTCAATGCACCTTCATGGCTGTCAGCTGCCAAAACGTTTGTTCATTTAGGCTAGATTTTGCCATGCCGCCCTTCGCAAGCCAAGGAACTCAGACACCCTACACTTGATTTCACTCCTCCGACACTTCGCGATAGTTTAAGTAGAACGCTCGTGTATATGTTTTCCCTATTAGCTCGGAAATCCTATGACCGATATGGATCAAACTTTGCGAAGTTACACCCCAGTACTCTG